TATAGTTCATCTCAGACCTGTGGGCGAGACATCACAGTCTTTCCCACTTCCTTCTCCACTCCCTAGGCCCCCCAAAGCCCCCAAGGCCCTGCGCCTGTCGCCCGCGTTGGCTCCTTCTCGTTGTCTGTTTCTTTCCTTAGCTTTATTCGCATCATTTTCCTTGTTGTGGGGGGCTGGAAAAGACTGCATGGGCCCCGGGCTTCTGTTCAGTAGGGCAGAAGAGGCCTCGCGGATTCCGCATGGGGCGCTCTCTACCGGTTTTAGATTTGCGCCTGCAGCAACCCCCGCAGCAGCCGCAACTGCAGCAGCAGCAGAGCACTGATCAACGAGCTCACTGGAGGCACAACCAGCCTCAAGGATTCAGAATTGCTTGTCAAGTGGACAGCCCCTTCGTGTGCTTTCCGCTGCGCCCTTGATGAGAAATACAGGGCTGCATCATCGGGGGGCCCGCGAGAGGGCCCCCCCGCCCTCGGGTGGAATTGTGGGAAGCAGCTCATCTTGCATGCGTCTCTTTGCGTTTTTAAGTAATATATTTGATGGCGAGATGACGCTGGATGAGAAGCTGGTCCTGCAGGTCCTGAGGCGCTTGGCGGCGACTCCTTACGATAAGGACAATGCCGACCATGAACAAGTAAGCAACAGAGTGTCAACAAGAAAGCAGTAGGACCTGCTGGTTCTTTTGTTTTTGCTTTTTGTCGTATCTTCCCCAGTGTTTGCGGATTCCTTTTTGTTTTTTTGGCTCTTCTCAGTCCATGAAACGGCCCTTGTCTATGTGCCCTGCCTTCCCGTGCTCTTACTGTTGCCGTTGACGTGGGAGATGATTCCTGATTTAAATGGCGAATGTCAATTCATTTGGTTTTCTTATACTGTGTTGAGTCGGTGGCTTTGCTTTCGCTGCCTCCTGTGGGTGTCTGCACAGCTTCTGAGGCGATTTTTCTTGCTTTGTTTCCCTGAGGCCACATTAGAACCTGCGAAGGAAGAAGATTCGAGGTGGAAAGAAGTTGGATTTCAGGTAGAAGGGCCAGTTTGTTTGACAGCATTTGGGCCTCTCTTTTGTGTTCTCTGGACTTTTTGTCCGGTCTTGCCTTTTTCATTCAAGATCTGCGTTTCCCGTCAGCAACATCCATCTGTGCTGTTCCATCGTCGTCTGTTTCTGTCTGTTTTCCCTTTGAGTTTGCTTTGAAAGCCCCGCTTTTGTTCGTTTGGGTGATTTTTTACTCTGTAGCTATTTGCAATCTGTGCATATGTGTCGCTGTGGTTTAGTCTCATCTGCTTTGCCTCTTCTGCATTCCGTGTTTTCGCAGTAGCACGGCTTTGTTAGTTTGCACTTCGTTTTTCTGTGCCGTTTAAATTGTTGTGTTGATGTTTTCTGCATCTGCAGTCCTTTTTCACTTTTCCTGTCTTGTTACTCGCTCTTGCTCCTGTTGCTCCTTCCCTTAGGTCCTCATGTATCTCTCGTCTTTGCAGCATTCTTGCGTCTGTTGCCCCTTCTTCATGTTTTTTATCGCATTTTTGCCTTTTTGTGCAATAATTTGATTCAGAGTGAAGACCCCCGCCGCGACTTCCGGGGCGGCGGTTTGCTGGCTCTGCAAAATCTTTGTTTTTTTCGTCTTCGCTATCCCCGTCAGTTTTTTACCCTTTCGAGGAAGAGCTATACAGCGGGCTTCCCCATGGCTGCTGCTTTTATTAATATCACGGTTCGTCCTGCTGCTGTTCTGGCGGCTTCTGCTATTCCAGCTGCTGCTGTCGTTGCGAGAACGAGGAATAGCAGTGTTCGTGATTTCCGGGCTCCTGGCTTGCTGGATGGTGCAGCATCACGAGGAAGTGATGATGTGGAATGCTTTGTTCATTTTGGCTTCGCTGCTGCTGCTGCTGCTGCTGCTGTGCACTGCAGCATATGCTGACTGCTTACCTCCGTCTCACCGTCTCAGCGGGTCTGGCCGCTGGGGAAATTCAGGCCCCTCGTCGGGCAATGCGTCACTTTTTGCGTCTTTGCCTGAGTCCTGCTGCGTTGGAAGACGAGGCTGAAGAGCGCGTGCAGCTAAATAATGTTTCAAAAGGCTTCAAGGAGGGCTCGTTCTTGTGTCCTCCACCCCTGCCGGGGGCTGCAGCACTGGCGCAGCGCCGGAGCTCTGACAGCTACTCCGACTCGGACTTGGTGCGTTCGGATATGTCGGCTGCAGCAGCAAACGCGCCTGCTTGCGGTGTACGTACAGCCGCAGCAAACGCGCCTGCTTGCGGTGTACGGACAGCTGCAGCAAACGCGCCGCTAGATCAGTCCACCCAAGCCAGCAGCCCTTTGCCCAGCGGGCCGCTGCTGCCGGGGCGGCGGCTGCGGCGGGGCTCTTCAGATTTAGGAAAGGGGAGCGTAAGAACAGGACAAGTCACGGAAAACCGGGTGTTGACGGTTTTTGGTCATTTATTTGTCTTCGCTTGCATGCGACTGGACCAAGAGCTGGGCCTGAGGGGCGCCTGGCAGCCGGACGGGACTGACCCTCCTCTTGTCCACTCCCCGCGGCACTTCCCGCACCACTTCTCCGGCCGCCGCAGACTGCACGGCCATTTCGTGCATTCTTCCCGGAGGACTTCTGCTTCCAAGGGCTCCAGCGGCAAGAGCCACCCGGCAGAAGAAACCCACCTGGCGACGGAGCCGTCAGCGGGCAGCGGAGGTGCTTCGGAGGTTTCGCGGGACTCCGTCTTGGCCCCGACTCAAGGCAGGGACACAGCGTCTGTCTCCCCCGCGAGGTCTATTGCGGGAATGGAGGAGACGGAGCTGTGCCCGACTTCGGGGGAGCTGTCTGCCACCCCCTCGCCGCGCTCCATCAGCTCCGGCCGGGAGCAGCCTTCCGTGCTGCCAGCAAATCCGGGGCCCCCAGGGGACCCTGGGTCTTGTGAAGTAGCTGCTAGGCCAGCTAGTGGCGGATCTGACGGCCTGCTGCACCGGCGGGCGCAGCTGTGCTTTGGGGAAGCTCTCAAGGAAGTGCGCAATGCTGTTGACGCTGTGCTATGTGATGGCACTGTACAGACAGTGGGAGACTTGGGGGCAATCTGCCGAAGTTGCTAGCCACCGTACAGCAAGAGCAGCCCAGCAATCCCGCCCTGCCTTTGCGCAGGCGAGTTGGTTAATTGTCCAGCTCACGCGTAAGGCGCTGAGAGGCACTGCCTCCTCTTGGAATACAGCAGAATGAGCAGCTGACACAGCAGCTGCACCGGGCTGGTTTCCAGCCCCCTCGGCACCCAAAGGGTTTTCCAGCAGGAAGTCAAGGCTCCTAGTTGGGAATGAGATAGAAAAAGAGGGACACACGGAGGCCACGTGAGTTTTGGCGGCCAACTACCGTCCGGTAGGACCAACCGGAGAAGCAAACATCTGTTTTTCGTGTATTCTTTCGAGCGACTGACTCAGAAGTTGCATTCTGGTAATGGTGTGTGTTACACACAAAAGGTTTATTTAAAGTAGTAGGGAGGGAAGTTCAATTTGTTTTTGTTGTCAGTTGAAACCAGCAATATGCTTACTTCCATTGCTGGCTAAAACTTGGCGTATGAACACCCTTGTGGCGCGCGTACACCGCTAATTTCCAGGCCATTGGCCGAGCGATCTCTGATTCCTCGCATGAGGGATCTGAACCATAATTTGTTTTCGCTGCATTGTGGGCACAGCGCTGGGACTGTTCTTCTGTATTTTACAGTGGCATTGCTTACACTATTTTGCAAGCGTAGTTTACCACGAGCATATGTAGTTGAAAAGTAAAAGGGGGAGAAGGCGCTTGAGGGACTTCAAAACGGCGAGACATCACCTACTTGAGGCAGCTCAGTTCTTACTTTCTAGGATGCTTGGTTACGATTCGCGTGTTCGCTACCGTTTGAACTAGCGTGCTATATTTTTCGTAGCTTGAACTTCAATATAGATACGCCAGGCAAGTGCATCTTCACAAGGAAATGTGGTCAGTTTCAGATTGAAATACGCATTATTGGAATGGGAATGAAATACAAACTGAGCCGGCTGGAAATATCTGAGCACAAGAGTGAGAAGACAGACTAAATTGTGACAAACCACTGGGAATAGAGTGGGGAATAGTGGTGAACTTTGGTCAGCATAGGAAGCCCCAAGAAACAGGCCCACCGTCCGTAGTTGGTTTTCTCACTACGTACAGAACTTGATCAAAGTTAAGTGAACTATTGAAGAGGCCCGCTGTCCATAGCTGGCATTCTTACAATGGTCTGAATTCATCGAGCAGCATGCGTATTTTTATTGCTGGCTAGAGTTCGGCGCATCAACTTGGACTCTGGAGAAATAAGCTATGAACGGGAAACTCAAATTCGTAGCTTCGAACCCGAAGCCGCACGGAATACCCCGAAGAGCAGTGTGTTTATTAAACTTGTACCGCAGAGCCTGAGCAATTCTTCTGCATCATTTTCCACAGATGAACGTCTAGTGAACTTCATGAAAAAAGACCGGATCGGTGTTGATAAAAAATATGTTTGGTTTAATTCATTGTGAGCGCTCCTCCTTAGTAGGAGCTGCGTCATAGCTCATCAAATATACACAACATGAGCTAGCGCAAACAGACTTGATTTCATCAGCTTAAAATGTGCCACTTTTTCACAGAAGTGACAGAATAAGTGGCCAAGTGAGCGTAGGAAAAGAAATGCATTATGTTGATGCATTACGCTTCCAGACTAAAGGCCGCTGCAAAGGTAACCTTTCAAAAGAACAGGGCTACCTGTAAACTGCAGCTTTAAAAAGAAAGCCTGAGGCAGAAGACAATTTTGCAGTGAAAGTCAAGATTGAGCCAAAAACAATACCCAGCTGCTGCTTCACTAAGAGCCAGACGGAGTTGTGAAAAGAAGACAGCGCGCCTTTATTCCAGTAAACAAAAGCAACTTGAAGTACTTCTGCAGAAACTTGGTCGGTGCTGCGCTGTCTTCATGCGCGCGGTTAGCTGTCCAGTGTCGGGTGCGGGAAAAGACAAACAACACGGCAGACGTTGGTGCTGGTTGAGCTAAGGCGAGGTCTCTGAGTGCTGGTCTGCGGCGTTTTGGGCAGTTTCACTTGTGCTATCGCTCCCTTGACCATGGGCTGGCTCTACGCTCTTCCCTTCACCCTCCGGGGCTTCCTCGTGGTTTTGCTGCCCTTCTTGAGGCTTTCGAGGTTTGTCTTCTGGAGCTTTCTCTGTCGCGTCATTGTCTCCGCGCGAGTTATTAGTCTGGGCAGTTCTGAGGATAACGTTCCTGAGCTGCTCGATTCTCCCTTCGATTAGGCCCCTATATCTTTCTTGAAGGATCTGGAGTAGCCTGAGTCGATTTTGCAACTCTTGTTTGGCAACTGTGCACTCTTGTACGTTTGTTTCTGTGTTCTCTTGGAGGCAAACACCTTCCTTGCCTTTTCTGCTGTTGGATATGGCGCTGCGGCATTCTGTGCCGTGTTCCCTTAGAATGTCCGCGACATGCTGAGTCGCCTGCTGATTAAACAAGTCCAGATAGAACACCAAGTGCATATGCATAATTTCATTTTCAGATAGCCTGAGCGCGGCAGCCTGAGAAGTAACAAATTCTTCATAGGAGGTCCAGTGCCCTTCTCCTAGGTATCTGAGCATAGACCTTCTTAGCAGGTCCTCGTGATTGAACTGTGTTTTTTCCTCTTTGTTTGCTACACTTTCATTCTCTTCGTCATTTGCTTTTTCGGACTCAGCAGGCACCCGAGGATCGCAAGATCTCAATGCCAAGTACAAATCCATTAGAGCGGTTGAGGAATTCCCAGCATTAGCCGCTTCGGGACGTGGGTTCGATCTGCTGGATGTACTTGCTCCATATTGTTCACGGGGAGAGCGGAATTGGAAAGATGCGATATTGAGAAGAGGCAAGCCCTCAAGATCTGCGATTTGAAACAACAAAAACGGACATAGACAGCTTAAATAGAGGACCAATTCAAAGAAACATGGCGCATGTAATTTTTGCACGCAAATACTACACAATAAGATGGAGAAAGACTAGATAGAGAAAACGAACCTGCCGCATCGTTTGCGCTCGAAGATATTTCATGAGATACTTCTCCAGGAGCAGTTTCTCCCAAGTTGGTGACAGGCCGCATTTCGTCGCAATCAGAAGTCTGCGAAACAGGGTCTCTCTGTTGCGAAACAGGGTCTCTCTGTTGTTGTTGTTCTTCTGTTTGCTCTTGTCTCCGTTCTGGAGCTTGCTGCCGCTCTCGGCCGTTGCGTGGTTGACGATTTTGTCTTTCTTTTTGCCTTCTTTCGTCTCTCATGAGGAATATTTGGTGCCTCAGCTTGCCAGACATGCGTCTCCACAAAGCACGGGCGTACTGCGGAAATCCAAGCAAAAAGACAGAGTTGCCAATGAAACTATCACGCAAAGGATCATGTGTGTGCACATTATACTTTTAATGTGAAGGGGCCTGACCCTTGGCCAAAAATAATCGAAAGCAAATGAATTGCTTACCTCGACATCGTCTCGGAAAATGTGAAGAGGCACACCACTGGCATTGCAAGGAGCTCTAGAGTTTTGGGGGTTCATGCGATTATTGGGGCCTGGAACTGCTCCCTGATAGCGCATGTTTGGTTGTGGGTAGAGGGGCCCTTGGCGTCTTCTGTTGTTGTTGTGTCTGGAGGCGTTGCTATCTGCTCTTGAACTTGGGTACCTCGAAGCCCTAGAGGAACGTGGGCTGTGAGCGACTCTGGCAGCTGCTTGTGAAACTTCAGCATTAAGGGCTTTCTGCTCCTCCCTAATCCGTCCTCGGGCTTCTTCTAGTTGCTTCTTGTGGTAATCTTCCATACCGTAAGGAATCCACAGGCCTGTACTGTCGTAGAAGCCCAAAGGTGAAGGATCAGGAACCCAGTCAGGAACCATGTGTCTAGCTGCTGCACCGCCGCCGCTGTACATCTGTTGGTGCTGCTGCAGCTTTCCCAAATATCTCTGCTGCTGTTCAAGATAAATGAGGCGCTGATGCACAAACTCGGGGTCATGATGATAGCCCCGTTGATGATTGATGAATTCTTGCTGATTTTGGAGGTGCCTCAATTGCTGCTCCAAGTAATGCTGCTGTTGGTGGATTTGCCTTTGCTCTTCGCTCAAAAACTTTGATTGCTGCCAGTGCTTTTGCGGCTGCTGCGAACGTCCATGTTGATCTGTTGGGTACGACAGCTGCTGCTGCTGCTGCTGCAACCGGCGCTGCTGCTCGTCTAGTTGAGCTTTCTGGTGCAGTATTTGCTCCCTCTGTTGGTGCAAATTCATCTGCTGCCGGTGCAAATGTTCTTGATGCTGCTGATGAAGCCGTTGCTGCTGCGGATTGACGAAGCGTGGCTGCGGCCTCCAATGAGGTCCTTGCTGCGCATGGAATGGTCTTGGCGGCGGATGCATGAACCTTTGTTCTTGGTGCTCATGTTGCATGTGCGGAAACGGCGGGTAAGCAGGCTGCTGCGGAAATCCTGGATGCGGTCCAAGTTCTGTTGGAGGCGGCATGTTGGGCCCTGGCTGCTGATGATGTTGCATGTGTGTGTGAAAGTGCGCCGGGTGTCCGTTCATTTCGTTCACATACTGTTGTTGTTGCTCGGTGTATGCTTCTTCATTGAAGGCCTTTGGCTGCTCATGCTGAGGTTGGGGTTGCTGCTCAGCCTGCTGCTCTGTGTGCTGCTGCACTGGTTGTTGCGCATTTAGAGAACCCTGTTGCACCTCGGGTTGTTGCTGCTGCTGCTGCTCTTGTTGCTTCTGTTGTTGCTGCTCTTGTTGCTCTCCTTGTTGCAGCTGCCCTTCTTGCAACTGCTCTTGTTGCATCTGCTCTTGTTTAGGCTGCTCTTGATGCGGCTGCTCCTGTTGCACCTGTTCTTGTTGCAGTTGCTCACGCTGCAGCTGCTCTTGTTGCAGCTGCTCATGTTGCAGCTGCTGTTGGTGCTGCTGCTCTAGCAGTTGCTGGTGTTGCTGGTGTAGCTGCTGCTGTTCTTGGTTCTGTAGCTCCTGGTGCTGGTGGCATTGCTGATGGATCGGCGGCTGCATGGGAGGCTGGCCATGTATGTGCATGTGTTGCTGTTGAAGAAAGTGGAGCTCTTCAGGGCTTAAAGGTCGAGGCGGCTGCAGCGGCTGCACGTGCGGTGGCATTGGGTATATAGGATGCCCATGCATCAGAGCTGGTGAGTAGGGGACCTGCAAACAAACAAACGAAACCAAAAACGGGTGAACAAAGTTTAACTGTCACACTTTCCAGAACAAAAGTTGAGCAGTACGTACATCAGCAAACGCACATGAGGAGAGTCTGCATTATATACAAGCGGTACGAACAAATATAAACCATGTCCAAAGTTAGCAAAAAGAATTGATGTGCAGCATAAGTAGATAGCTCCGTGATGTATTTGACGGAGTTATGCGTGCGAACAACGCATCCTTGTACATTCATGAATGAAAACATGATAAAAGAGCTAGACATGTTTTACCCTGTTGTTCATCGGAGGTGGTGGGGGCGGGGGTGGCATAACTTGGCCGGGCTGAGGGGGCATGAAATACCCTTGTGGCTGAGAAAAATAAACCAGAAAACACATTTGGCACGATATGGGAAAACGGCTGTTAGCCAAAACGCCATCTAGGCATGCAGTGTCTGCAAGAATTAAATCATTACATCTGCTTACCAGCGGGTGCTGTGGATAATACGCAGGACCAGAAGCCTTGTACCAAATGCCTCCTCGGGGAGCAGCATTCGGGCCGAAGCCATGATAATGTGGCTGGCCTTGTTGGCGAGGAAACGGGCGACGAGGCTGCTGCTGCTGCTGCTGCTGCTGCTGCTGGTTTTGCTGCTGCTGTGGGTGAGCGTATTGGCGAGGAAAGTGCTGGGGGTGAGTGGGTGCTTGTCTGATGCTGATATAGCCGCCTCTGCCGCGGTGGTGTTGAGGGCCGTTATGGTGCTGGTGGTACTCTCCGTTGTTAGCAGCAAAGTTTCCTTGTCTTTGTTCATAAGGCCGGCTTCCGCGGGGAACTCCTCGGCCTCCTGGGTGTTGGTATCTGCCGCGCTGCTGCTGGCGTTGATAGTGGGGCTGTACTACTTGTTCTTGACGCTGGGGGCTGTTGGGAGGAGCTTTGGGGGTTGTAATGCTTGCTTGTACTTCCTCCTGAGTTACATTTGGCATCTCCGTTTCTTGAGAACTTGCTGTTTCTTGGCTTCCAGCGCTGGGCAGCAGGGGAGTCGTGCTTTGGCCATCTGCAGCGTCGAGTTCGGTGGTTTCGGACTCGCTGCTGTTCCCCAGCAACAAAGTGTACCCATTTGTGGATTCTCGAGGCGCCGTTGACTCCGCTTCTTCTCCAGAACTCCTCACAGAAGTTGAGGCAGAGACTGCAGCAGGCGGCGTGCTGTCGCCTACTGTTCCCTGGTTGGAACAAGCTACGTCGGTGGCCTGCATGGTTTGCGCTGGGGCTTCTTGAGTCGAGGTTTCAGGGGCAGCCGCAGTAGGTGCTTCTTTGGGAAAAAAACACAAGACACACTAGGAAGTAAATTAGGCCCAAGGGCAATTCGAGCTTAAATAGGTTGCTAACATAAACCACTTATGTTCACGCCAGCAAATCCAATGTACTTGAAGCTACAACTAAAGCCTACAGGCTAGAAAGCCGCTGGTGCTTGATCGCTAGCACAACTGACAAAGTGTACTGCAGCGATAAAGCTCTAGGGATCAGGCCTGGAATTTTCAAGTGCCTACAGCAACTGATTTCGCTTTCTTACCAGTTGGTTGTACTGCGGTTTGAGTGGCGGCGCACGGACTGCGGTCTTGCTTAACGGCTACTCCAGGAGAACAGGCAGTGAAAGAAATCGCGAAGGCTCCCAGGATCATCAGTGCGAATTTATGAAAACGATTCATTTTGGCCAGACTCTGGGTGCTGAGAAGAGAGGAACACAACACAGAGACGAAATATACTTTCACTTGTAGCTCAGGCAAACCACAGCTTTGTCGAACTCCCTGTACTGCAATGCGCAATATATTGCTCTGAAGTAATATGCATACAATTGTAAGACTAAAACGAAAAGGAGGCACAAGCTTAGTCGAGCTGGTGATGCACACAGAAGGCTGAGGTCTCCCTGATACTTTACAGGCCTGTGCTCCGTGGCTTGGTGAGGCCTGACAGGGACTTCAAAGAGGGTTTTCCACTGGCAACTGGCGCGTGCGATAGTAGTCACAATAAAACTATATCATAAAATGACATCGAGGAGCAGGAGAGAAGGGGTCTTACGCGTAAAACGAATAGGGTGGCGGTTATCAGCCCTCAGTCGGCGGCGGTCGTCGATTGGGCCACGAGAACCAGAGCCGCGAAAGCCCGCTGGGTGTTGAAAACTGTATTAAAATAGAATTAAATATATTTCACTGTGTGCAAAAGCCTCCAAAATGCATTTCCGCACATTGTGATGGACCTTTACTGAGACGTCGGAAGGGCCGCCTCAAGAGCGGGTGACCACGGCGGGCAGGGCGCGGGCCGCGTGCTGCAAGCCATGAGCTCTATGGCTGCCTGCTCAGCGACACCTGCCATTTCAACAAGATTGAAGGATATCAAAATGCAAATAAATTTGGATCAATCTTTATTTCAATGAGACTTTCCATGCAATATTGCGTGGGCCGCCGAAACATAAATCGGGCGTTCCACACTCATCGAGACAGTTGCCATCATGATGCTTGGGCCTCAAGCGTTCATCGCACCCGTGGAGGCTTACCTTTGCCAAAGGCACACTTGATATGCTTCAAAACAAGCACAAAAATAGGTGTTTAATTCTTATTTCAAGCGTTTGTCCTCTAGGTTCCACAAGAAAAATACTCCTCGGCACCCTCTGCCTTGCCAAGACAAGGCTACAGATTTCAGCTAGCGGCACTGCATAAACATCCCCAGTTTGCACATGAGTTTTGAATGAACCAAAGCTTGTTTAGCTGACTACTGCCTTTTAGTTCGGTGTTTTTCTAAATTGATGGCCTCTTCGTTCCAGTAACGCAGTATGAGCCCACGAACTTCCCCAGGCTCGTTGATAGTTACACTGAGGTAGGCAAGGGCTTCCAGTCCTCTGTCCCTGATTCGCTCAGTAAGCACCTCAATTACCTTTTGAAGAGCGTTATACTTGCCAGATTAAGTGGTAATTTTGATGCTAAGACATTGCGGTGTGCAGTATCAGCACGTTCAGGGCAGACAGTCAGAGAAATTGAGCAGCCACCACTCACTTGGAAGCCCACGGCCTCTGTCCAAACATAGAAAAAGGTGAAATCTACATTTTTACATTTAGAAAGAGGCTAGAAATTTTTCTGGAGCTTCAGGCGGCCGGCCTACTCACCTTGTGTCTACGGGATAACTATAGCTTCGAAACACCGGGCCAAAGATTCACTGTTTTACTCTCCGCTCCCACTGGAACATTCCTCGCATGATAGAAGTTCGGCTTTTGGTTCTTTTCAAAGCCAAAGAGCGGCTTGAACCTGGAGCCACTGCAAAGCAGCTGTCCTAATGTGTGCACTATGCGCTACAGAGGTTATCCTATATACACATTACTTGTTAGATTTCCTCTTTTTTGGCATTTCTGAACTAAGGCACCTGGCCTAGCTGGGCGGCTACTAGAGCCCCCAGAGGACTGTATCCTTGCCTTGGGTGCTCTTGTCCTGTCAGACATTTCATTTGTCGCGACTGCATTTTGGAGGGCAATAGGAATGGCATTTGTGCTCGAGGCTTCCCTTCAAATCCAAAAACGCGGCACAAAACTGCAGCCGCTACGGCCCGAACCGCAGCTAAAACTCCAGGCCTTGTTTGAATATGGGGAAAGTGTCCTTAAGTTACACTAGACTTCAATCCCCGAGGCTGCACTAATAGTTTTGAGGGTCAAAAGTCTATTTGCTTTGTCATGAGCACAAGTTCCAAAAGTTCCTTCAAATTGTGGCAGCAACAGGAGCTGTAAAAAGAGATTGTCGAAGCCCTTTTAAAGCTAAAGCCCCTGGGAGGTGAATTTTCGGAGTTTTCTTTTAGATTCAAGCTTCGTTTTGATAAGAACAAAACTGCAAATATTGCATGGCGTCCAGCGGATCTTAAAAGAAGGAAATGGAGCAAAATGCAGCAGAGCCGGCGCTGGCCGTAGCTGCAGCGCGTGGGCGAAATTTGGGGTACAGGCTGCTGCCTGTGCTTTGCAGAACATCTCAAAGCTGCTGCTGCTGCTGCTGCTGCTGCGGACTCCAGTGGAGAAAAGATCTCTCTAGGAGGTGAAAGAAAACCTTTGCTTCTCTTTTCTGGCATCTGGCCTTTATGCTCCGCTTCACCTTGCTGGACGAAGAGCTTCAAAGGTCGCCTGACACCTCAAAGCTGCCTAAAAAGCATTTAGAAAAGCCTGCTGCTGCATTCAAGGCTCCAGAAGGCTTCAGCTAGCCTCAGCAGTGCCTTGGGGTGCTCGAGCTGCAGCTTTCAAGGGCCCTGGGCTTTTGCTGCTTTGCTGCAGCAGGCCCAGTCAGCTCTATGCCCTTGCTGTGCTGCACTGGGCCTGGGCTATTCTCGATTGCCCCATGCCCTTTTTCCCAACCCTCTTGGGGGCCGCCAAGTATAGGGCTCCCCCACCCCAACGTGCGGGGCCCCCCACTGTGGGGAGGCCCCCCGCACATTTTGGGGTCCTTGCTGCCATTTGAAGTGGCCCCAGATTCTGGGGCTGTGGCTGCAGGGCTTAGGGCCTTAGATTGAGGCCTCAGGGCCCGGGTCTTTTCAGCATTTGTTTGGCCTCTTGTGCTGGACCTTCATTCACTTGTACAGGGGGGCCTTCTGTGCTGCTCTAGGGGCCACAGCGCCGGTTGTTTATATTTGTAAACAGCCAACTGTTTACGAGTAAGTGCTCTTTTTGCATTTGTTTTTACTTTTGAGACTTCGATGTGTGCATAGAGAATGTTCATGATTCTGTACATTATAAGGCAAATCGCATTTCTTGTTCACAGAGCAGAGCAACAAAGATGAAGGGCTCCACAACACAAACACAGGCCTTTAGGGCCTGTAAAAAGACAGAAGCAAATCACCAAGGACCCCACTTAGTGTATCAGACCCAACAGATGTTTCTTTCGCTTTTTTGTTTCCTTTTAACCAGGATAAAAAACAGAAAAGAGAGGGCTGGAAATGGACAAATTTGGAGGAGACAGAAGAAGCAAAAGGAGAAACAAGCGCGGGCAAGGGAAGTGAAAAACGAAGGCAAGAAATTGCAAAGAATGAGCCGATTGGAATTAAAAGATTCTGGCCTTTGCTGCAGCGAACCGAGCATTTGTAGCGCGAGGTGAACTAATTAGTGCTTAGAGTTGAGGGCCTGCGACGTGGGCTTTTCAAGGGCCTTCCACCTGCTTAGGAGAAATAAAAAAATAAAAAATGAAATAAGGAAAGAATAAAAACGAAACAAGAAAGGAGGGAAGACGGAAGAAACGGAGAAGAAATAAAGGGCCAGCAAAAGCATCAAAGGGAAGAGCCTTAAACGAAGGAAGGGCCCGAAAGAAGCATTTGAAGTGCAAACCAGATAGACAAAACGACGTGGGATAAATAAAAGAATTAAAATAAAGGTGCTAGGGAACATGAATGCACCTGTAGAGTTCGGATAAATGAAGAGGAGAAAATTTGACAAAAGAACGGAAAAGAAAATAAAACAGCCAAGCGACAGAGAGGAGACTTAAACAAAACACAGAGCAAGTAATTAGAGCCAAAGAGAAGAAAATGAATTTACGGAGGAGTCAACAAGAGGCAAAAAGTAAAAGCTGAAGTGAGTCAAAGGATGCGGAGTTCAGCATTCTTTATTGCCACTATTACCAAGCAGCAAATGGCCATTTAGGGACCACCTAAGAAATTAAAAACCTGAAATAGAAGGAAATCTAATTAATAACCAAAAATAAAACAATTTTATAACAAATACGAAAGGCAGCGTTTGGTTCCCAAGTGACCCCACGGCCCCCGGGGCAACTCATGCAAACCAAAAAGCATGCTCAGGGATCAACTATATTTTCTTCTTATTTCGAAAAGATAAAAGAAAATATAATAGATTTCCTAATGATAAAATTAACCAGCCATAGGGTCCTACACTGGCTTGACCAGCGGCCTCTGGGGGCCCCCCCTTGGGACCTTGGGGCCCCTGAGGATTCGTGCTTGTTTGATTACGCAGCCTCCCAGAAGTTTTTCCTGCATTTAAATCAGTTTTAATGATGAAATGGGATTGTTTGTTTTCGTAATATCAGATTCTTCCCCCTTCTTTCTCCTGGTCTCAAGAAACAAACTCAGAATCCGGCTAAGTCCTGATCTGGACCTTCTGCTGGGCGAGCAGCAGCCTCAGCAGCAATCTGCCCAGTACCCTTTTTGAAGAAATATCGGGGTCCCCCAAGCAGCCAGAGGGGCCCCAAGAAGCCAGAGAGGCCCTCTACTTTACAGAGGGGCCCCCATGCACTCAAAAAGGCATTCAAGGCTTTAGAGGGACCCTCAAGCAGTTATAGGAGCTCATAAGCAGGAATTCACTTCCCCGAGCCTTTAAAGGGGCCCTCAAGTCTTTAGAGGGGCCCCCAAGCCTTTAGAGTGCCCCTCAAGTCTTTAGAGGGGCCCCCAACCCAAGCCTGTAGAGGGGCCCCCAAGCAGTCAGAGGGGCCCCAGTGCCAATAAGGGGGCCCACACTAAGGGCCATGAGTGTGTCTTGACTGTAGCTGAAGCGGAATTTCATTTTGCCGCTGATTCAGCAGCAGCAGCCGCCACACCACCAGCTGCAGCAGCAGCAGCAGCAGCAGCAGCAGGCCCTCAGCACCGCGGAGGCCCTCTAACTACTGGGCAGCAGGTGCAGGGGCCCCCTCATTCTGCATGGGGGCCCATGCTGAGATCTATCTTGCTGGGGGGGGCCCCGAGGGGCCCCTGGGGCCCCCCTCGGCACTCTCTTTTGCGTTTGGCCCCCTGGGGGCCCCTGGCCCTGAAGTATGAGGGGGCCCCTCTTGGATTTGGGTCTTTTTTTGCATCAGGGGGCCCTTCGGGGGCCCCCCTGGCCTGCGCTGTGGGGAGGGGGGAGGGCCAGGTGAGGCAGGTGACCGCGGAAGCAGCAGCAGCAGCAGCAGCAGCAGCAGCAGCGGCAGCGCCAAAGTTTGCATGCAGTGCGGCTGCGCAAAAGGGGAACAGTTCAAAAGAAACAAAAAGGACTTTTGGAAATCCGGAAGAGGCAATGAGGCCTTTAGACCTCGACGCGCTTAGAGGCGACGTTGAGGAATACCTTATCTCAAACAGCAGCAGCAGCAGCACCAGCAGCAGCAGCAGCAGCAGCAGCGGCAGCAGAAAGATGCTGGCAGCTGAACGCCTGCTCGGACATTTGCCTTTGTTGAGCCCTGCACGGCTGCAGCAGCTGCCTGCTGCTGACCTGCTGCTGCTGCTGCGCGTGTACAGTCGGCTGCTGACAGCCTCTGCACCAGTCGAAGCACCAGCAGCAGCAGCAGCAGCAGCAGCAGCAGCAGCAGCAGCAGCCCACGCTGCAGGCAGCAGCAGCTCCACAGCTTGGCAGCAGAGAGCTGCAGCCCATATAACTGCCCTCCGTCTCTTTCTTAAGAATGGGTCTCTCGCCATAGTCGAGCGCCCCCTTGATTTCCTCCTGCCTCAACAGCTAATCCGTGAGTTCCTCTGCTGCTGCTGCTGCTGCTGCTGCTGCTGCTTCTGCTGCTGCTGCTGCTGCTGCTGCTTCTGCTGCTGCTGCCTTTCCTCAGCTGTTGCTGCGGCCCCTGTGCTGCTGCAGCCCCGCAGCAGAAGCCCCACTGCTGGCGCAGCAGCAGACGCTTCTCCGGCCTGAGTGTACATTGTGGCTGCTGGCGCTCCCGCACGTCCAGCTGCAGCAGCAAGTGCTGCTGCGGCGCAGCAGCAGCAGCAGCAGCAGCGTGTTTGCTGCTGTGTCTGCAGCTGTTTTGGCCGTCGCTGCCTCCATCCCTCCCGCCTGCGCCCCCCTAGAGTTTTGGCGCTGTCTGCTGCGGCGCTGCGTCGAGGCTGCCCGTTTGCTGCCTTCTGCTGCTGCAGCAAGGCTGCTGCTGGGCCTGGCCTACCTGCCGCGGCTGCCAGGTGCGCAGCAGCAGCCGCCGTCTCCCTCGCAGCTGCCATCAGCAGCAGCAGCAGCAGCAGCTGCTGCTGCTGCTGCTGCTGTCCGTGGTAGTTCGGTTGCCGCTGCAGCTGCTGCTTGCTGCTGCCTCTCCCGCCAGACCTACGCCCAAACATGCGCCACCACTGCCGCCACTGCTGCTGCTGCTGCTGCTGCTGCTGCTGCTGTGCATGCAGACGAAGCGGGCCTTAGCCGCGCTGCTTCTGCAGTCTGCAGCCGCGTGGCGGAGGGGGCGGAGTGCCTGGCCCGCCGCGAGGCTTTGCTGCATGCGCTGGAGGCGCTGCGGCTGCTGCAGCAGCAGCACCTTCCTTTGCTGACGGAAATAGGTGAATTTTAATCCATTTTTCGAATTTTCAAATTCTTTCTTTCCCCTTTTTGCTTATTTTGTCCCTTTCCTCGGACTTTTAAATTCTTTTTTTCCTCTTTTTGCTCCTTTTGTCTTTTTTCTTCCCCCCAACCCTCAAGACCCGCTTCCCTCTTTCTGCCTCGCTGCAGCGCGCGCCTTGCAGCGCCGCTTCGCCATTCGGGACCCTCCGGGGGGCCCCCTTCCTGGGGGCCCCCCTCTTGAGGGCCCTTTTTTGGGGGAGCTCCCTCCAGGGAGGCCCCCTTCTCGGGGGCCCTCATCTGGGGGCCCCCCTCTTGGGGGGCCCCCTGCTGGGGGCCCCCTTTCGGGCGGGGCGAGAGGGGGGCCCCCCAGGGCGGCGTTTGGGGGCCGGGAGGCGGCGAAGGACACGGAAGTAGCAGTTGCTGCTCTTTGTTGCTTTGCTGCTGTTGAAGCTGCGGCTTTTCAGCCTCTGTTTAGGGGCCTCGGGGACTGGCTGAAGGAGGTGGGAGCTGCTGCAGAGGGGGCCCCCAGCAGCAAGGGGCCCCAGCTGGCTGCAGCCGTGCTGCAGCGAGCAGAGAGCCGGGGGCGGTGGGGAGAAGCAGCAGACATACAGGCAAACATTTGCTGCTTTTGCTGCTCTCCCTGCTGCTGCTGCAGCACCTGCAACATTTGGGCCTAGAGGAAACAGCTCAAGTCCTTTCTGCCCTAGGCGCCCTCAGCTGCTACCCGGAGGGCCTCATTGCGGGGCTGCTCCCGCAGGCTGTCACCTTGTGAGGACTGGACTCCTAAACCCTAAATGAGGGTTTAGGGTTTAGGGTTTAACGGGGTTTGGATGCCCTACTACCCAGCACACTGCAGCGTGTACCCTTAATTGGGACTCGGGGTTTACAGCTAAGGGGCAGCAGCTCGGGTCTTTGAGCTCTGCTTTGAATGAAAGCTCAGTCTGCGCACTATACCCTAAAGTAGGGTTTAGGGTTTAGGAGTCTGACGCTTAAAGGCTCGAGGCCCGGGCTGCAGCCCGTAGCCCTTTAGCTGGACACAGCAGCAAAAAGGGTCTTGTCTTCTTTGCTGCGCTTTTAGGCTTACAGCGCAGCAGGCCGTGTTTTCAAGCAGTCAGGAGGGCCCCTGTGCTGCAGCAGCAGCAGCACAGCCCGATGCGGCAGCAGCACCGCAAGCCGCGGCACAGCCAGCTGCAGCAGCAGCCCCGCAGCCAGCCGCAGCAGCAGCAGCACAGCCAGCTGCGCCACCAGCACCCGGAGGAGCCGCTGGAGCAGCCCCTGCAGCAGCAGCAGCTGCAGCAGCAGCACCCGCAGCAGCTGCTGCAGCGGCGAAGCAAGCGCTGCGCATCTTGCGGGCCCTGGGGCAGCTGCAGAAACGAGATGCTGCAGCACTGAGGGCTGTGGTTTCTCTCCTTGAGTGCGCATCTGCAAAGCAGCTGCTTTCTGTAAGCTTCCTGCTGAGGCTGCCTAGAGGTCGCTAGCTAGCTAGCTAGACCTAGCTGGCTAGCTAGCTAGACCCAGCTAGCCAGCTAGCAAGCTAGCTCGACCTACCTGCTCACCTAGCTAGGCCCAGCTAGCCAGCTAGACTGAGGTAGCCAGTCAGCTAGACCTAGCTAGCCAGCTAGCTAGACCCAGCTGGCTAGCTAGCTGAACCCAGCTAGCCAGCTAGCTGGACCCAGCTAGCTAGCTTGCCAGCCAGCCGGCAGCTAGCGCTTTGTTTGAGGCCCTGCCAGAGTGTTGCTGCGCCTTCTCTGGGGCAAGAGGCAGCAGCAAAGTAATTCGATTCTTATTTGCTGCTGCCTTTTGCATGCTGCTGCACCCCCTCAGCCTAAAGACTGCGTCGCAGCTCTTTACTGCTGCTACCGCCTCGACCTCTGGCACCCTGGCCTCTGCAGCGGCCTCCTCAGCCGCCTCCGCGCAAACCCCCGCTGTAAGAAGTGTTCCCAGCAGCAGCAGCAGCAGCAGCAGAAGCAGCAGCAGCAAAAGCAGCAACAGCAGATCCTGAGGCGGCAGTAGCAGCAGATGCTGCTGCTGCTGCTGCTGTAGCCTCCCCTGCCTTTGCATCCCTGCCGCAGAGTGGCTAGCTGCAGCACCTGCTACTGCTGCTGCTGCTGCTGCAGTTTCCCCTGGCTCTGAGGCCCCTCCCCTGAGTGGCTAGAAATCCCCTTTAGGTCCTTTTGCTGCTCTGCTTCCCTTTTATAAAATTAAAACTGCCCAGCAGACTGTGGGGCCCCCCAGGGCCCCCCTCGCCTTTTGCTGCTGCCTTTTTCTGCAGCTCTGCTGGATACTCTGGGGCAGCAGGGGGCCACTAATTTGCTGCTGGCGCTCAGCTACTTCAGGTGTGACGAGCTGCCCATCTACGACGCGCTGCTCTCCCAGGCAAGCTGCTGCTGCTGCTGCTGCTGCTGCTGCTGCTGCTGCTGCTGCTGCTAGTGGCGGGCCACCTGCGGCTGCAGGGTCCTCTGGGCTGCCCGGAGCAGCAGCAGTTGGGGCAAGTCTTTTCCCCGCTGCTGGGGCCCACTTGGTGTGGGGCCCTGTGGGTGTTAGAATATCTTCTTGTCTTTTTGTCTCGAAGTTTTCTTTTTTATCTTATGAATGTTTTGCATGCTTTCGTGCTGCAGCTGCTGCGCCATGCCCACTGCCTCTCCACCCCAGCCATCTCTCAGCTGCAGACTGTGGAGTTGGCCTTCAGGTGAGGCCCTTGGGGGCCCCCAGCTGCCCCAGCCAGTGCCCCGGTGGGGCCCCCAAAGGGGGCCCCTGCAGCAGCAGGTTGGGGGCCCCAGACGAGCAGCAGAAGGGCCCCCAGCGTGTCAGGTCACAGCAACTGCCCACTCCCAGCTGCAGCAGCAGGAGCAACAGCTGCAGCAGCAACTGCTGCTTCTTCTGCTGCAGCAGCAGGAGAAGCAGCTGCAGCAGCAACAGCAGCAGCCGCTGCTGCTGCTGCTGCTGCCGCTGGGCCGATGGCCCTGCTGCATGCGTTTGTGTGTCTTTTTGCTGCCTGCCCCTCGCAGGGCCGGCCACACTCCTTTCCCGGCGGAGTCATTAAGTGCTGCTGCCCGCGATTTGCTGCAGTGGGTGCGGCGCTGCTGCCAGCCTGAGCCCGAGGCCCCCACGGCCTCTGCGCTGCAGCAGCAGGTGGCGAGGGCCGCCACATTTTTGCAGTGCCACTACTACTCAGAGGCAAGCTTCGCTGCAGCAGACAGCACAGCAGCAGCAGCAGCAGCAGCAGCAGCAGCAGCTTTCAGCTGCCTAACTACTGAGCTTTTTGCGGGCCTCTGGCCTGAGACTTTTTGCTGCTTGTCTCCTCTGCGAGTCTTTTTGCTGCGCAGGTCACTTTTGGCCCCTACACCCTCGACTTCGCCCAGCCACTCACTGAGGGAGAGCAGCAGCAGCAGCAGCAGCAGCAGCAGCAGCAGCAGCAGGCTCTGGGGATGTCTCTCTTGGACGCAGACGGCCGCTGGTGTAGCTCAGGCACGTAGCCTTTAGTCAGTTAGACTGAAGCAGCAGCTGCCTGCTGCTGCTGGCTTGGTGTGGGGCCTCCTGAGGCCATTAAGTAAAGCTCAGGGGGACCTGCTGCTGCTGCTGCTGCTGCTGCTGCTGCTGCCTCAGCCAAAAGCTAAGAGAGAGGGGGGTCGGTCTTGTCTTGCGGTGTTGCTCTTTAAGTCTCGTGGGCTGCCTCTGCGCTGCAGCTGGTTGAGCAGCAGGAACCACTTGCTGCTGCTGCTGCTGCTGCTGCTGCTGCTGCTGCTGCTGTGTGGCGCAGCTGCGGAGAGGCTGAGGGCGGCGGCCGTGGTGGTGGAAGTGGATGGGCCGCAGCACTTCTACAGAGATTCTTTTCACTGGTGAGGGCGAGTGGGCAAAAGTAGATGGACAAAAAAGACAAAAAGAGACAAAAATAGACAAATAATAGACAAATAAAAGACAAAAAGAGACAAATAATAAACAAATAATGGACAAAATGACACAAATATGAGACAAAAGGAGAGGCGAAAAAGGGGCAGGCTGGGCGGCAGCTAGCTGCGCTGAGGGGGCCTTTGCTGCAGCTTTGCTGCGGCTTTGCTGCAGCCTCGCTGCAGCTTTGCTGCAGCTTTGCTGCAGCTTTGCTGCAGCTAGCCAGCGGCGCCGCAGGCAGCGCAGCAGCAGCAGCAGCTGGGGCAGAGGGGGCCGCAGCGAGAGCAGCAGCAAATGGAGCAGCTAGCTAGGGATTTAGAAAAGACAAAATTAAACAGAAATGAGAAATAAAGGAGACAGAGAGAGCCACAAAAAGGCAATTGAAATAAAAAGGAGACAAAGAAAAAAGCCTAGAAGCAGCAGGGAAGACACGTGCAGCCGCTGCGGGCAGCCAGCAAGAGCTGCCCAGCGGACAACAGCAGCAGCAGCAGCAGCAACAGTAGCAGCAGCTGCAGCAGCAATAATAGAAGCAGCAGCAGCAGCAGCAGCAGCAGCAGCAGCAGCAGCAAAGAAGGAATGTCTCTGTGGGTGGTTTGTGGGCACAGGAACTCCTCCTCAAAACTCAAACACCATCTCCTAACACGCTTAGGTGGGTTGAGGTGCCTGCTGCCCGCTGGGTGCTGCTTTCGAAGCTGCTGCTGCTGCTGCTGCTGCTGCTGCTGCTGCTAGGTCTGCTGTTACTGCTGCCAGATCCACTGCTGCTGCGGAAACTGCTGCTGCTGCTAGATCTGTGGCTGCTGCTATATCTGCTGCTGCTAGATTTGCTGCTGGTGCTAGATCTGCCGCTGCTGGATCTGCTGCTGCTGGGTCTGCTGCTGCTGTTGCTGCTACTGCTGTTGCTGCTGCTAAGCGCGCTCTCTAGACTGCTTTAGGAGCTGCTGCAGGCGCCTATCGCTGCAGCAGCTATCTCTGTCTGCTGCCAGCTGAGCAGCTAAGTGTTTTCTCTCGCAGCACCTGTTGCTTCCGCTGCACCCACAAGGAGCCGCGGCCAGGCGCCGCTTGGCTGCTGCTGCAGCTGCTGATGCAGCTGCTGCTGCTGCTGCTGCGCTGCTGCAGGCTACCGCGTGGCTCACATTCCTTACTACGAGGTCTTGCCGCTGCGGGGGGCGAGGGAGCTGCGGGATCTTGTGAGGTGAGCCTGAGTTGTCTCTTTTGCTGCTTCCTTTCTGCCTCCAGCAGCAGCAGCCGCTGCTGCTTCTAGTGCTGCTGCTGTTGCTGCTGCAGCTGCTGCGCCCAGTGCCCCGGCTGCCGGCAGCAGCTTGCAGCGCAGCAGCGCCTCTTAGCCTGCTGCAGCAGAGAGGGTTTGAGGAACAGCAACCGGAGCAGCTGCTGCAGCAAAGAAGACTCTTGTTTGCCTCTATAGTTTCTTTTTAAAGTTTTATTTTTCTTTTTTTTTATTTTTCTGTCTTCCTGCAGTCGCGCAGTGGCGCATGCACTGCAGCCAGCAGCAAGCCCCGAGCTGGGGGCTGGGGTGTACGTACACCCCAGAGGCGAAGACCCCTTTGCTGCAGACCCTGCAGCAGAAGCAGCAATGAGCCTGCTGCTGGCAGCAGAGGGGCCCGCAGCAAGCAGCAGCAAGGGCCCAGGGCTGCTTCTCGAGGGCGCAGAAACGGAAGAAGAGGCACTGCAGCAGCAGCAGCAGCAGCGGCAGCAGCAGCAGCAGCAGCAGCAGCAGCAGCAGCAGCAGGAGCTGCCGGAGGCGCTCAAGCAGCAGCTCAGGCAGGCCCGGCGGGCAGATCCTCAAAAGGCCCTTCTCGTTTCAGTCCGACGCTGGAAGAGACAAAAAAGACAAAAAATGAAACAAAAAATGCAAAAAGTGGGGGCCCCCGGGGGCCCCCCAAAGGCCAGCCTGTACCCTAGTTAGGGGCCCCCCAGCGCGGGGGCCCCAAGAAGGCGGAGCAGCAGCTGCTGCGCACAGAAAAGCCCCTGCTGCTGCAGCTGCTGCAACCTGCTGCTGCTGCTGCAGTTGGCGCCTGCTGCTGGTGCAGCTGTTGCAGCTGCTGCAGTTTGCCGCTACAGCAGCTGCAGCAGACTGGAGCTGCTGCTGCTCGGCGCAGCAGCAGCAGCTGCTGCTGCTTCCTGCCTTCAAGGCAGCCCTTTTCCTCCATTAAAAAAACTTTGTCTTATTTATCAAAAAGCCCATTTTGTTGTTTTTTATACACCTTGCTGCAACTGTTCTGCTTCGAGGTCTTTTGCTGCGCTGCTGCCTCTTTTGCTGCTTCTTTGTGTCTTTTTTCCTTCCCTTTTGCTGCTTTCAAAGCTACATTGTTTTTTGGGGTGTATGTACACCTGCGCCTTTTCTTTTGGGAATTCTTTGGGTCCTTTTTTCATCACTTTTTTCCTTAAAGGCACTTTTTTATTTTACTCATTTGCATGCACATCAAGCAAAAGCTATATATTGGTAACTTGTTCCTTATATCTACTAAATATATTCATATATATATATGTATATTTATGGGGTATATTTACTTATATCTCGTAAATATATATATATATATCTCTATGTATATACATATATACATATATATTATAAATATATATAAATACACATATATATATATATTTGTATATATATATACATATATTGCATATAATACACGTTACGCGTTATTTGGAGTAGATCTGCACATATTAGTTATCAAATGTTTATATATTATGCATATATGTATGCCAGTATGTAGATGCACACAATATAATATATATTTATATGTACATGTATATATATATATACATTCATATATACATACATTATATATATCTGCATTTAATATTATATATTACATAGTACATACATTTATTAAAAGATACATGTAATTATAAATAGATAATATTACATAGTATATGCATTTATTAGAAGACACGTAATTATATATAGATATGTATACATATATAAAACTACATATGTCTTGTTACATATATGGACTATATATAATATAATAGTATTAATATAACTACACAATTACTTACATATGTCTTGTTACATATATGGACTATATATAATATAATAGTATTAATATAACTACA